TGAAGGTCTTTTAACCTCTTGGCAGCTTCAGCTCTGAGCCGAGCCAGAGTGTTCTCGGACTGTTTGGCCTCTGATGAACCATCCTGTGATGCCCTGGGTGTGGTAGCCTGATCATTCTCAGCGTCCCTGGAGCTTTCGCCGCCAACCACGGTGTTGAGTGAAAGATTTCTCGTATGGCTTAGAATTGTTGATCGAAGGCCAGTAAGCCCCTTTGATGCATCTTCACCTACTTCCGCCAACTCCTTGGAGGCTTGTGTATATACTGATTCGCCCTAAACATGTTAGACGGGCAGGGTTCAAGAGCTGAGACCTCGTACCTGCTTCACAACATTGCCAAAGAAGCCACCAATCCTGGAACCCCATGGACTGTTAGAAAAGGCCTTATATGCGTCTTGGAGATCCTCATTCAACGTTGACTGAGGTTGAGGACTCTTTGGCTCCTCCGTCTTCTTAGCGTAGCCATCTTCTGTGATATGATCATAAGCCAGATCCATGGCGGCTCGCTATTGTATCGTTCTTAAGCCGATATGAGTCAAGACTATGATTTAAGACCCCAGTATGAGGCTTTGTAAGTCTTTTAATCCGTTAATGATAAATTTATTCGATATCTCCTGTCGTCTTGATATCCCTTGGGCTTGAACCTCCTGACCGCACATGTGGCGGGGTCCAATCGCTGTTGGGCACGGGCCAATGCTCACGTGAGCGTCCTTTGGCAGGACTCTTGGCTTTTTTGCTACCCTACAGCATTTCATTATGTTAACATTTTCGAAGATCTCTACGCGTTCTATCTGCTGTTACTGCCTCATATTTTGCAAGTTTGGTTGATTTACCTCCTGGCACTGCTATCGTGGTTTGCTCTTCTTGTTCAAGGAGAACATGCTTTTGGTAGCGATGTTGTTTGGGTTTATCTCTTCCTTGATCGCCATCGCCTCGGGTATTAACCTTTACTCACTGTCACTACAACTCTAACGTAGTACCTTATATCGATGAGGAACTCATGATCAACATTAAAGCCAAGCTCTGTTGCCAATGACGACATATGAAAGCTTATAGTGAAGGCGATTACTTGCCAAGCCTCATGATCATGAAGTTGTTCAGGCCTTGGTCAAGAACGAGAGCAGCTGAACCAGAATGTTATTTTGAGTTGACCTTGAGGGATACCCCCGCAAGGAGGAAGGTCTGCACTCAATTAGGTAGTGTACTTGGCGAATGCTTTTCAGTTGAGCTTAAACTTCAATTTCAGCTCACAACGCACTCTTTTGATCGATGCCTGTCAACCAAGCTGTCACTGACGTATCTATTGCGCAAGACAAGACTGCAAAACTGTGCGACCCCTTGTTTCAGGTCCCTCAATCCTCAGCGAGAAGATGGTGTTGATACCCTTAGAAAGTCCTCAAGGATGGACCCTTAATCCGTCATATTCCCGAACTTTATCTTATCGAATTTAACACACAGCACCCGCGATTATCGATGATATTGTGGCATGCTTATCCTTAGGCAACCGATGGCAATGCCTTGTTTACCAACATTGACGTCGATGTATCTCGATCGTCGGCTCTACACGGGCAGAATTTCCATCTAAAAAGATCATTTGACCCCGATCGCGATCTGAGAAAAAGCCTAGAACGAGCCACAGCAAACGCCAAAACGCAGCTCGACGTGTTTGGATTGGCTCCAGTAAAAGGGGGATTGGATTGGCTTTGATCTTGAGTCCTCACAAGACGTGCTTTTGGCAAAGTGATGCTGTCATTGTGCATGAAGACATGTGGGTTTTAGCCAATCAAATAGTCGTCCCTGAGCCAGGGGATCCATACTGGCAATCCTCTAGCTTGGAGCCGCAAAGTTGCCTGCAGTGATCATCAAGCTTCCCGTTCCTCGGTCTATTATCATCCAATGACATGGAGGGAATCACAAGTCAATCAAGACCACTCCCCGGATCCAAACAATAGTAGTGGGCTTTGCAGCGCTGGGCAACATATCTTGGCTTTTGGTTCCAAAAAAGGACTTTTCCATCCTTGCGATGACGTAGTATGCTATGCAGCTTCGCAATCCAGACTGCTCCAACACCGCAACTGACGTCACACACGATCGCGATCTGAGAGGCATCTGAAGTACCCCTCCATCACGAGAGTGCATTTTGCTAGAGAAGCCGCAGTGATTCAGTGTGGGGAGCTATCGGGAGCTACCTCCGGACCATCTTTCCGGCCTACTCCTCCTTGCCCACGCGTGCCTGCATCTTCAACGTGAATCACAGGCAAGCAACTTTCTCTACAAACAGCTCTCCAAGCACTACTTAAACCCCTCCTCCTCCCACCTCAATCTCTTCTTCTTTCATCATCACACACTCTCATCTTCACTCAATACAAACACTCAACCAACAACAACCAACCCAAACCACCAACCACTATCACAATGGAGTCCCTCAAGCAAGCCGGCAACTACGTCGCTGAGACCGTTCAGCAGGCTACCTCTGGTGCTTCCAAGGAGGCCAACAAGGAGGTTGCTAAGGACGGCAACGTCCCCATCTCCACCCGGTAAGCACTTCACTTCCCATCCGGACTACCCACGAGTGCCTCACGACCTCAATACCACGAATACATGGGCCTCACTCGGCACACTCAACACCACTTCATCTCATAGAACAACATCTTGCTAACATCTCTCTCCAGTGCCACCGCTGCCAAGGACGCCCTTGGTGACAAGATCGACGAGACCACCCACGACAAGAAGGCCGACGTAAGTCTTCCCTGAGCTACGATCAACAGGTTGTACAATACTAACCGAAAGCAACAGGTTCATAAGGAGGCCATCTAGATTAAGAGAGCCTCGTATTTCGGATCGACATGAGAACAACATGAATCGACATGAATCGGAATGGCGTTGAAAGGGAATAGCGTTGGGACTACATAGGCTGTATTTACCTACACCTAATACAAACAGTCAAACATCAAAACCACCAGAAAGTGCATAGTGAAGTGATTAAGTTGTGATTCGGCTAGAAAGTAAATAGCCCCAGTTCTCAAAACCTGATCAAGTTTGTCTGGCGCAGATTGTGAATACTAAACTGAGCGAAATGATATATTGTACTGATCGTCCAACCTAAAGCTATGATGTGATGACTGGACAAGGTGGATACGAAGTCAATAAGAATAGGTAATGTAAAAAAACACCTCTGCATCGAAACCTGGCTAGACTATCGTAGCGTGCTGGATAACTTCGTATGTTTCGGCCTGTATCGTGTCCTCTCCAGTAAATCGTGCGCGTCTGCTGTTTCAACCACGTACTACAGTGGAACGAAAGAATGAAATAACTGACTGTTAATCCTCCATCACTTGCTTCGTCTCTTGGCAACTTTACAGCAACAGACATTAGGGTTCCTTGCCTTATGTTTGCTTATATCATGCTGCTCTTGAAAGTTTTCTGGAAGTAGCATAATGGTTGTCATCCTCCTGAGTTGGCTAAACTTCTTGTAGTTACTATGCCCAATCCATCGCTCTTCCAGCTCACACTTTTGTACCTGAGTTGATCAGTCTCGTGTAAGGCTCGTGTAAGGCAGATTGCCTGCACACAACCGATCTTCAATATAACAGTTCTGCCACTACTGATATAAGAAGCATGATGTGTGCTGTTTAATATTCACTCCAACCTCTCATCAATGTAACTCATCTCAGACGACTGGCCCAAAAGACTACGCATATCACACGATGGTCGAAATTCTTCATGCGATGAAACTATTCAATCTCCAACCTATGAAACCATGATTCTGCCTACTGAGGAGTCGATTTCATGAGACATTAAATGATGGAAGCTTGGCTTGTTGCGAGATGGAATGCCACAGATGTGACCCGACACCTTACTTCAAATACTATTTTCATGCCATTCGATTTATTCAAGGGGGGTACTGAGTTCTTAAATGACACTCGTATCGCTAGCGGAAGCTTTCCGGAACCTGAAGGAGTCATGCTGCCGTCCTGAATTCAACCCAAACTGAGCTAACTCTTCTTCTCATTCAGGTCGTTCCGACTTGACTCCCCAATTCGTCAATCGACAGCTTCGGTATCCTATTGATCAGCATTGCCTCACTTCGCCATAAAGGCACCGTTCGCGAGCCTGTCTGCTTGATTCTGGCTGGTCTTACACGAACCTGGAGTACGGAACTCTGCTACATCAGCTATCAAGTCCATCGCTGATGGCTCGGCATTGCCTCCGTGTGATCCTTTGGACCCAGCAAGTCGTTTGCCTCAATCTTCACCCAGAGTTCGAGCGACCTATACCTTTCGCGGAACAGATGGCTGAGGTGTTTTGCTCCTTGCTAGAAGCCAGGACCTACAATGGCTGTCAACTGCCTGAACATCTGAAAAGTGATGACCGAGTGACTACTGCCACCCTCTTAGACCTGTTAGAGAACAAATGTTCAGCAAGAGTCTGAAGAGGGGAATACTTTCCTACGTTCCATGTATCAAAATAAATACAGACCTGATGCCATCTTCCGCGAAAAGCCAACAGGCAGAATGAATGGGAGACCCAACCAATGTAAAGACGAAGAACTTGCTACGTGATTGCATTGATCCGTCCCCTATTAATTGTTACATTTTCGCATGAACCTCACTGAGCCTGGATGCCACCCTCTCTTCAGCAAGATGGGTAAAAGACTTGGACAAAATTCAATGTGATAACTTCTATTCCAATAGCAATAATCTGCCACAAGACTACTAAAGGCAACATAATGAGTCATTCCCACTGTCGTGTGAACTTGTGCTTTTTCTCAAAATCAATTGACAACCTAGAGCTACCTCGCTATTTTCCATGTAGAGCAACGATACTAAAATCGCTATAAAAAACACCGCCGTGTTCTACCATTAGCCCAAATGAAAAGCAAAACAATACCCATCTGCCATCTCACCAAACGACGATATTCCAGAAGGTAACAAATCTTCCTTCCATGAGGCCGCAGACTTCCAGAAAGCAATATGCGCAAAGTCATCACGAATCACAGCACCTTAGATATAGTACATGGAGTTGATCAGTCTGGGGTGGACTGCCTTGCTGTTCCTGGCTGCCCCAGCACTGATGACACTTTCACCGTCAGTCTCCTCGAAGAACTCAGGTCGATGAGCTCGAGCGCGAGTGCAGACAATGTCTGCATAGTAGGCGGGAGGGCAAATGCTCACAGCCTTGGTGGCACGTCCAAACAGATAGCAAAGCTCGTGAGTAAACTTCTCAAGTTCGTTGGCTGCCTCGTTTTTGAACTTGGCTTGGAAGATCTCATCAAGTAACACTGTGTAGTGCGCAGGACGGGCAGTGCCCTTGATGCTTGCGTGGGCGGTGAGGTAAAAGTCCCAGTAACGAGCCTCCGTAATACCTCGGTCGACGACAGTGCCATTCTGGATGTTATGATTCTTTTCCATGGCATTTTCTTCCGAGGTAGGGTAAAAGCGAGTCTGGTGTCGCTTGACGGAAACGATGATAGAGATCTTGGGCGGCTTGTTCTTGGGGTATTTGCCATTGCAGGCAATCCGGATGCGTGGCAATTCAGTCCGAAGAACTTGGGCGAATTGACCAGTGGACACACCGTCGCGGAAGATGACAATGTTCTCTGGCAACTCCTGTCGGTTGTGCTTTTGCCAAAGCTCAAGGCGCGATTTGAATGCCTCAGTCAAGGTCTCATCCAGCATCTCCTGCTTGGATGACTGCTCCCAGGAATAAGCTGGCCATTGTCCCATGTCCCGGTCGATAGTTGCCACCAAGCCAACCAAACTGGGTGCAGCATCGCTCTTGTCGGCAGACATGTTGGTGGGATGTGTAACATCGTAACCAACCACCATTGTCTTGCCTTCTTTAATCAAGCCGACCTCGTTCAGAAGTTTGTGATTTACACCACCAGTCTTCAAGTTCCACTTGAGAGCAACATTTGCGAAATACTGCGGGTTTTCTTTGCGCAGCTGGAAACCCTGAACACAGATAGTATGAATACCGTAGGTGCAGTCGCCTAAAGTCTTGATCTTGCCATAGACTTCCGAGCCAGTTGAGTCAAGAATCACAAGCATGATCTCAATCTGATTTTTCTGAGCCCAACCGAGAACCTTTTCAGCCTCCTGGCTGTCAACCGCCAGGGAGGGCGGTGGAATGGGGTCATTGACAGCGATGTTCATTGTCTTCTTCATGAACTGAGAGAACGCGATGACTGACTGTGCTGCCACGGGCTCAGATCTATCGTTGGACAGGAGGTTGACGTAACTCCATTTCTTGACAGGTTGGCCGGGCTTGACAACCTTGACATCTCTGAGATTCCAAGACCCATTGCGCGGGTCGATAGCTTTGGCTCTCCTCTGCTGGTCAAGGTATGCAACTCGAGGCACGGCGAGAACACGTCCTTGGACCGTGAGGAGCTGCTGACCGACTTGGATACCGAAACGACCCTATATGAGTTAGCATTTCCTACATCAGGACTTAACTAAACATACCAGTTTGCCGTCTTTGTCTTCGAGGCCTAGGGTTATCCGGGCATCTGTAGTAATAGAGAGGGCGTTGGCGTATGGCGTTCGGCAAGCAAAGTTCACCATGTCTGTTGACTCGGCGCCATTGAGCTTGGCCTTTACTGACTGTCCAGGCTGGATCTCAAGGAACTCAGCAGGAACAAATGTAGGCTTTGCGGCAGTGCCAACATTGAAAAGGGGGTAGTTTTGCAGATTAACGTTGTACTCTAGATCATATGTTAGATCAGTATCGAATGCGAAGGGTGAAACATACTCTGTTTGTAAAAGTCCGCGACGGTAATGTACCGGCCGTTGCCCTCAACTTCGAGCCAGAAGCTCACGTCTCCCGGTCCAACCACAAAATCTGTCGTGTGGCGGAACTTGGGGGGGTTCTTATCGCGACATTGTTTTTTGATGTCACGGATCGACACTAGGCCATGGATTGCCTTGGATCTTCGAACCTCCTTACTCCCGTATTTGGTCTTTATCCAGACACGGGTCTTGGGAAGAAATCTGCCGAGTAGTTTCAACTTTCTGGCCATTTGAGGCGACTGAGTCGCATTTACCCCGAACCCGTCAAAGAACTTGGCACAGGGACCGTCAATCTTGAAGACACCATGTGTGACATTGACGTTCAATAGAAGGCGGCCAGTCGCCATGCGAACGGATTGGAAGTAACCGCGCGCAGCTTTCAATGCTCTGTCTCTGCCCAGGACAACCTCATGGCGACGGTTATCACTACCAAATGCAAAAAAGCGCGAGCTTCCCACAGCGCTGATCTGGTCCAGCTTATTAGATCTGGGACCAGAGCCGAAAATGACGTTCAGGGCATCAATGACATCAGGGAACTTGGGGTAGGTCATGGCCTGGGAAGGATCGCTGCCGTCGTCTGAGGCGCCAGTCTTTGAGTTGACGTATTTGAGCATCTCGTCAACACGAGCCTCTACAGGGCCATTGAAAACAACATGGAAGGTATCAGTCTTCTCGGAGCCTTCTGAAGAGGGCATATTGAACCGCATGGTGTTGTCTTGCTCAAGGTTGAGCTTGCGCAGCGATATGAGCTGTGACTTGAACTCGGTCGCGACGAGCAAGTCCTCGTTCTTTTTAGAGAGCTCCTTAAGAGCTTCTTCGATGACAAAGTAGAGCTTACGGCCCTTCACCTCGCGAGGGCCAGATTCTCGAGGCTTTCCGGACTTGCCACCCTTGCCCTTAGTTTTGGGAGCGCGCTCCTTCGCCTCTTCTTGTACTTCTGGTACAATCTCCTGCACAGTCATTGTGTACTTGTACAGGATCGGAGCTTCAGTTTTGATGGCATAGTAGTTCGCCCAAAGTGTGACTGGAGTTCCTTTGCTGCCAAAGGCAGGTCGTGGAGGGAACTTTCCAAGGTTCTGCTTGTCTTCCATTGACAAGTTGCCCATATTGGAGGTCAATTGAGTGATAGATGCAACATTGCTTCTCACCACTTCATCCTCGAGCTTTGCAATAGCGCCATCTGGTTGGGGAATAGAACCTCCCATGCTGCACAAGTTAGTATTGATCAACAACAACACAGTGGTGATAGATAGAACATACGTGAAGACAGCAGGTCCTTCGGGCTGACCACCGTAGCCGCCACGGCCGCCACGACCACCTCGTGGTCCTCCTCTTCCACGATCGTAGCCTCCGCGACCGCCTCTAGGGCCACTGAAGCCGCCTCGGAAGTCACCACGGCCTCCATCAGCACGACCTCTGCCCTGGAAGCCATCACCTCGTCCTCTTCCACCTCGAGAGTCAGAGAAACCAGAAGGGCCGCCGCGGCCACCGCCACGACCATCTTGAGGTCCGCCACCGCGGCCTCCGCGACCTCGCCCACCACGACCACCTCGGTCAGCCATGGGAATTGAGGTTTGAATAGTCAAAAGCTATAGGGAAGCAAGATGTAAGGGGCAGCGAGCGATGTGTAGAGAAAGAAAGTGCTGGTATTGATAGTTGATGGCAAGAATCAAACTCCAAAGGACTGTCACTTGATGATGATGATGATGATGATGATGATGGTGATGATGATGAGAGAAGAATGAAGGGCTTGATGAACAGGTATGAGAATGTGTGAGAGTGCAAGTTTAGGAGGAGGAGGAAGCAGAGGAAGCAGAGGAAGAAGAAGAGTTGGGCTGCTTTATGAGAAAGACCCGGGGCAGGGTCGAGAGACTCTTTGCCAGTGTGAATCAGAGCCAAAGCAGTCACAACCTTGTTTGCTGTGACTTTGCTGTGACACAGCCTGGTTATCTGAGAAGTGACTGATCGACTGAAGGCAAAAGTGACCTAATCAGTGCCTCTACCCAATTGACAAGGAGGCTTCTCGGCAACAGCTGCAGAAGAGGTCAAAGAGGTCGGTTGTTGTCAGGGACTGGCGGGAGAACTATCACGGCAGCTAAGGGAGCTCACCCGTTTCTGGTGGAGCAAGCTGAAGCTAACCGACACTAAGAAGTGCGCGGGGGAAGAACTGAAGTGGCTCAAATTGAATTGATAGCGGGCAAACAAAAGAAAGCATGCAATTCACACAAAAGGGAAGAGTTAAGGTAGACTTCGCCTTTTCCCCCTTTCATACGCAAGGTTTTTTTTTCGTAGCCTTAGAATGGTCGGCCTCCCAAGGTTGCCATGACGTTATTCGTTATGACTTAGTTCGTTGGGCTAACGAGGCTTTCCAGCTATCGTTAGTTAACCTTCAATGATAACCATTTACCCTAGAGGAATTCAATCACGCCCATCTTTTCACTATTGGAAACACAACTCATTTGCAGGTACCATATGCTCGGATCTTGTGTTGACGCAGTGCAGAATCCGTCTCAATCAGTTCTATCATGTTACCGAGATGCATGGCATGTTTGCTTCTTTGAGGTGGACTACTAATAAGCCACGATATCAAAATCAGCCCTGACCGCCTATTTTCAAGAGCAAAGGCCAATAGCACAACGAGTTCTCGCATCCCGCTGTCATATGATAGATTCCCAAAAACAGTCAAGGCAACTTATCTTTGCGTCTACGGCTGAATGCAGGTCACAACCATAGCAATCCCTGCCAGCAAGTATACCCTCTGATAGTAACCATAGCACAGTCGCTGTTGGACAAGATTTCCGCGAGCCGTCCCATGCTCAGCCACCATCAAAGACCTTACGATCTGTGCTTGCTCCGTTGGATCTTGGTACGCCTGGAATCAGCAATTCGTCCACACAATTTGCGATTTGTGAGACCAGCCCTGCGGGCTCGGATAACCAAACATACAACACATGCTAGAGGTTTGAGTTTGAGCAATTGCACCCTCATCACATCGCACAAGGGGATTGATCGGCCCACTGAACCTGAGGTATTGCTTGCCTTATGCTGAGCATCTGCTTACATTGGCCTCCAACGCATAGATGCGCTGTGTAACTTGAACCATATCATGAAACTTAGAACCGAAATGACTCTCCATGGCTCTGTCGAAGACCTCAGAATCTTAGACTTTAGCAACACTGCCATTCTCAGCAAGAACTTATGTATTGAGTTCCTTATTCCCGGTATCCTACACCGATTACAGCTGGAGTAATGCTCGGCTTCCCGCATAATTCTAAACTCCAAGCAAAACATACTGAATCTATCATGATATTCAACCACAGTTTGATCAATGTAAATAGTCGCCATGCCGTCCATCATGTCAGTGCCTGTTCTTTCATACCTTAGAACCGACAGTCGGATAGACGCAGACAAACTTCAACAAACGGGCAGCCTAGGAGCAGCCCCATTAACCACCTCAAGACTCTTCTTATGATCCTAGTACATATAGAAAAAATCAAGGCACCAGCCATCTCATACTCCAAAAGCCCCAGGAGTGGGAATAGCACCCACCCAACAACCTAAGAAATACCATGTGCACTGGTCAACGCGGCTTCTACATCTGCCCCTGCAGACGCACCCACTGCCCCAAGAAAGGGATAGTTCCTCACAGACTTATCACCCAGGGGCATGTATGCAAGATCGAAATAGATACAATTGCTTGGGACATATGCGAATGGTGGATTGCGAACGGACCTCCGGAGCAGGTCCTCAACCGATACCTCAAGCCCAGCTGCCAATATTTCACATGGCACACCCTCCTGATTCCTACGGCACTCTGCTCTGAGTGCCAAGTCACATGCGTTGAGGTCAGAGAGGAGCACGGAAGTGGTGAGAAGAGGTCGCATCGAAGAGGAAGAGACAGGGGCCGGTAGCTAAGGCATAAAACCCTCGTTTTGTTGGACAGACCTGTTGCCTCCTCTATTTTCTATTCGCTATGTTTGTTGGTTATGTTTGTATGTTTCCTTAGATGCAGTTTACCTACAGAGCAAACCTAAGGAATCTTCTAGAAGTCTAGCTAGGCTATATAAGCCCCAGCTTCTTCTGATCTAGATAGATGAATTAAGTTGCTTCTTACATCTTAACTCGTTTTGGTCATTTTGACACCCAAGTTTAAGTGTAACTTAGATACGGACACTCAATGGATGTGTTACTCTCAAGAAAGAACTTGACATGAAGGAGGAGGCATGGTATGGCCGTTAGGTCTTTTGAGCATAGCTCTCTTCCCTAAACGTATATGTTAGTGGTTTACAAACGCATTAGACTTGTGTACAGCGCATATCACTCACAACTTCCCACAGACCGCCAAAGTGCGCCACGTAAATATCACTTTTCAAATTTAGATTTCTGATATAGAAAGACCTAGGGAGGTAGTAGTAGGCAGTGACCAAAAGAACCTGCTAGAATCTAGATGTTGAACTTCCCACCCTGTAGGAAGTACCCTGAGACAATTGACTGCATGGTTTTATTCTGCGTTTCGCTCCAGACTCATCAAGGGACATTGGGAGGCCATATTTGAAATATCTCTGTGGAAGACAGTCGCAACAAATAGATGTTAACGTTCCATAGATGGTAGTTTGGTGGTTCAGTCATGTGAATGCATCATTTGTGCTTCTCGTAGCAGCAACACAGTACGGCTAGGGGTGGAAATACATAAATATAAGGTCAAAAACGATGATAAAGATGGAAGAATCTTGGTCAACGTTGCACATATGGATCACCGGTGTGCTACGTGGCAACCGCAAGCATACCATGGTACAAGGGTTTTGTTGGCGGAACTCAACGCGAGCCGATCAGGACAGATCGGTACTATCGTTGCTGACATTGAAATGCATAAATCAACTGACGATTGGTGATATGCAAGTCCGCAAATTTGATAGCTGACCTTCTGACTTGGTGTACCGACTGATATAACGCAAACAGAGCATACCGGGGAAGATAGCCCTTTATAGCAGTGTAGCATGTATCAACGCTGAATATTGACGATATGACTAAACTACAGATTTCTGAGGGAACACGGTTGATTAGCTTGAGATGTTCTGGCAACATAGGGGGGTACTTGCCATCTCCTTTACCCATCTCAGATCCAACTGAAAGATTTATCCAATTTGCCACAAGACCATCCATTACTCGTTAACACCCATGAGTGAGCAGTTGGATCTCACATGTAGATTAGCTCATGATTTGATATGCCCTGCAGTCGCAACCTTGAGAATCTCATCTTCCAAGCCTGAGACATGGTGGATCTCAATACCGGCATCTTCGAGCGTTTTGCGACCTGTATTCTCCCCAACAAAAGTCTCAGGCTCCTGAACGCCAACATAGACCTGCTTGATCCATGACTTTTGGCGCAAGACTCTTTCGACGCAGGGGAGTTTGCCGCTCAGCCGCTTGAAACAGGGCTCAACAGTGGTGTATAGAGCATGGGGTGTGTCGAAGACATCTGGTAGCTTCTCTTCTGTCGTTCCATACTGCTCAGCCAGCTTTAATAGACATGTCTCTTCTGCATGGGTATTCCCGGGAAGTTCAAGAGTGTATCCTTCGGCAATGATGCTGTTGTCGCTTAGCCTCACAACTAGAGCTCCCACACGGAAGTTGGTGGGCTTGGGAGGGGAATTGTTGGCTAAGCCCAAGGCACGCTCCATTGCGGTCTTATGGTTCCCAGGTTCTATGGTAGTCATATCGTTTGATGTGAGGCATGTATGGATGAGGTATGACGAGATGTCTGGATGCGGGAGCTTTGATCCATCTTGAACGGTCGGCGGTTGTAAACTCCGATCACCGAAGGCACTTTAACATTGGCCCCACACCTTTCTCGTGAGCGCGTTGCAACGCGTCTCCCACCAGCAGCGAGCTTGAGCTTAATCCAACTTGCACTCCATTGCATGATCAACCAAAATCGACGATATCAATACGATGTCGGACCACGAAGATGTGCTGGAGAGCGAACCTCCCACCATTGACCCATATGAGGTTTTGAGCCTCGAGAGGACTGCGACGGCCGATGACATCAAGAAATCTTATCGAAAGGCTGCGCTTAAGAACCATCCAGGTTTGTCAATTCGGTTACAATAGAGATGAGCACTGCTGACCCTACGATTTTTCAGATAAGGTGCCACAAGATCAGAAGGATGCTGCGCACGAGAAGTTCCAAGCTATCGCGTTCGCCTACGCTATTCTCTCCGATCCCGCCCGTCGCAAACGGTATGACGAGAGTGGCTCGACCTCCGAATCGATCGTAGACTCAGAAGGATTCAACTGGAGCGACTACTACCGAGAGCAATACAAAGAGTCTGTGTCGGGCGATGCGATCGAGAAGTTTGCCAAGAAGTACAAAGGCTCTGATGAAGAGAAGGGAGATGTGCTCGATGCATACGAACAGTGCAAAGGCGATATGGATGCGCTGTACGAGAGAGTCATTCTTAGCGACGTTCTGGAGGACGACGAACGTTTCCGCGAGATCATCGACACGGCTATCAAGAGCAAGAAAGTGCCCAGCTTCCCGGCCTATACGAAAGAGACGAAGAAGAAGCGAGAGGGCCGTGTGAAGCAGGCCCGGGCTGAAGCCACGGAGGCCGAGGACTATGCAAAGGAGCTAGGTGTGCACGATAAACTCTTCGGCGGTGACAAGAAGGGAAAAAAGAAGAAGGGCAAGGGAAACTCGGAGGACGACCTGGCAGCACTGATCCAAAAGAGACAGCAAGATCGCTCAGAGAGTTTCCTGGATCATCTCGCTGAGAAGTATGGTGCCAAAGAGAGCAAGGGCAAAAGCAAGAAGGGCAAGAAGCGGCCTGTTGAAGACGAGCCGTCGGAAGAGGCCTTTCAGGCAGCTGCTTCTCGTCTGAAGGCTTCGAAGAGGTCAAAACGATAGACTTTAGGTGGAGTGCGATATCAGATTGCGGTAATGTGACTAATGGGTCAAGAATTTTGGTGTTTGGGCGTAGGTTAAGGCAAGGATGCACTACTAGGACAAGCAAAGAATTTAGACCGAGAAGAATTGAATGATTCACATTAAGCTTGCAACAGTACTGCCCAGTGCAGCATGATCTCCGACTATGTTTCCTTCAACAAGATGGAAAGGTCAGTCCTCAGTCAATGGACATGATGGAGACAAACAGACATGAATCAGACTTGTTCTCCTAACGAACCTCGAACCTCATATCTCCCAAGTAAGCTTTCTTGTAAAGCTTCTGATAATTGGTATGGTCTATGATAATCTCTAGACTTATTGCGGCAAGGACTCCCAGTAATGTATGACTTGACTGAAATGAATCCGTGACGTTGTCACGGGCCAGTCTTTTTCCAGTGTCCACTAAGCTATGGTGGGGCTTCTCAAGCCACCGTGAATATCGCCAGGTCTCACTTTACTCGTTTAACCTTCTCTCAAACGCGTCACCACGACAAGATAGGTACGCAAGAGCGTGATTCTATATCGCTATGCTTAACGATGGTTTAGCCTTCGTCTGAAGAAGAGTGCTATCATGATGCCATGAGCGAATCCGCCAAGCCCCCAATCTATCCTCGGTATTGTTTTCATCTTGCGCCAACCGTGAACCAATGGTGCCTCTTTCGTGTGACTGATATCCATGACCTTGGTCAGTACGAAGGGTTTGAAGGTATGTCTAAGCTGCTGAATATTTCACTGTCTTCTAGACTGACAATTTCCAGGCGAAAACTTCTACTTCTATGGGAATCTACCCATCAAATGGGTGCGCATAGTCGGATTAGTCGTCGCCATTGACGAATTCGCAAGCCGACGCGTGTATACAATAGACGACAGTAGTGGTGCATGCATCGAGTGCACCATTTCCATACCAATCTCTGGTGAAGACGATGGTCGCGCGACAACAGGATATGCTGCTCCGAAGAAAGCGGATATTGACCCGCCTCAAACCCAAGACCCGTTCCCAAATATTGATGTTGGATGCGTTGTCGATGTTAAGGGAGGCCTATCTACTTTCAGGGACGAGCGACAACTCACCATTGAGAAGATGACCAAGGTACGAGGCACTGCGCAAGAGGTTACTCTCTGGGAAAAAAGAGTCAAGTTCAAGTCCGAGGTTCTTGACAAACCATGGGTTCTACGAAGCAGTGAAATCCGAAGATGTCGAAAAGAAGCTGAACGGAGTGAAGAGGAAGCGGAGAGGAAACAAAAACGCATCAAGGCAATGGCAGAATCTCGAGCATCAAAGCAGACATCGAGGCAGACATCGAAGTCCGCGGGCCATGCTGAACAGCCCATTCGGCAGCAGAAGCCGCATAAAGAAATGCGGCTGGATCTTCGGCAGATTCTTGAGCAGGGTGGAAGAGGCAAATACGATGCGCTAGGATTGTGAACTGAATATGTCCTGATTACTGGCGCACTTACTACGGCATTTTAGCGGGCGTTCATTATTAGCTGGACCAGAAAGAAACAATAAAAGAGAGTTGCCAAGTAGTGTTTGGCATGGCCAAGCGCATTGTGCCGTGGTCTGGAATGCGATACGCAATCACCATGATTGATAAAGGGTGCTAGAGGCCAGAGACCCATGGCCTTAGGGTCTTTCAGACACGCCGGAACGGTTGGTCACTGGATCATGTCTCGGTTTCTAACGAACTCCTCCGTCCTGGTGTCTGGGTAAATGTTACCACGAGTCAAGTGTTGTCTCGCCTCAACGGTCTCTAACGTAACATATGAAGTCAAGTGATTGTCTCGGTTCAGAATCGAATTGCCTTTCTCATGAATGCAACATCAACGATGGAGCGGTTGGAGAAGAGAGTTTGGCCACCAGACAGACGACAAATGACTTCGTATTCATCAGGCGAATATTTGTCAGGCGAAGACAAAGCAAGGCTGGTGATGTTTCTGCTGGGAGACAGTTTTGTTAACTCAAGTAATAGCATGAAGGATGGGTTATATGCAAAACAAAAAAATATTTTTAGCTATGAAGTCACCTAGCTATCAACGCTCAAGGCTGAGACTTGGTTCGGGAACGCAAGCCATGAAAATAAATGAAGAACACAAGTGGCGTCCACTCACAAGGTTGAAAGCTCACCCAAACGACCGGAGCTGAACTCTGAAGCAAATTTCAACGTTTGATTTTGGAAGGTGTGGCGAGTTCAACCGAAGCCATCCCTCGAATAGTCTCACAGGCTAACTCATCGCGAATCGATAGTTCCTGGAACTAGGAGCGCCCTGCAGCCCATGCCCAAGTGCGGCGTGCGCTAGGCCATTAACTGGCCCCTCTACTGCAGGCACATGGGGACGCCACAGATGAGCATCTAGGCGATTTCCCCTTTGAGGTGCATCACGACGCGCCATGGATCACATACCCTGTGTGTGAGACTGAGAACATGCGCCGCAGACACTTGATCTGGAATGCGAAAAAGGTCCCCGCCTCGACTGTTCACGATGCTCTTTCCTGGGCTTCAATGATACCCAAGAGACAGAAAGAACGATGGTCAAGCAGAGCACATGGCCAAGCTTCTCTGGCATTGGCTCCTCAAGAGGAGAAGATAAAGATGGAATTCCTCCAGCCATTTTCGTTCAACTTCAACCCTATTAACATCATCATCATCACAACCTCGGAATCCTATCACATTCGCATCCTACGCCATCCTAGAGAATCCAATTTCTAAAATCCTATTACCTATCATCGCTTACGCCATCTTCGCTGGCATCTGCTAGGTCTCGACCAACCCGTTGTCAACCCTGGCTCGCTAGTCCAGCATTTCTTTTGGTGGTCAATTCTAGGCTTGGTCTAGCTTCCAGGTAAGCCACATGCGTTTCTTCGTTTGTGCCGCCGAGACACAGTCCACTTCATTTCATTCTCCGATGTAAGTGCATGCTAGCTCTATCAGTCGTGGTGCCACTGGACTAGTGGTTTTCCGCATTCGATGGCTTCAAGGAAAGGAGCAGGCCCTGGACGTAGGGCGGCTATATTATATGAGCCATGGAACCCCTACCTTTCAGCTTGTCCTCCAGCTTCATTCAGCCTCATAAGTCTTATCGAGGTTGTGATCTTCTTGATCAAGGCAGCATCACACTCCCTACTTGCCCATCATGAAGACCCGCACTATCTTGCCCGTATGGCTTCTTTGGCTAACCCAGGGACAAGTCCTAGCCCTGCCTCAAGGCCAAGACGACTCTGCTGACTCCTGGGACGACTCCAACGAAGAGTTCAAGCGGGATATCGAAACATCTGCTTTCCAGTATTTGACAACCTACGACAAGGACGACATCATTCCCGTCACTGAAAGCGTCAAAGTCAGTACCAGCAAGGTTGGAACTACTGCCACAGCTCAAGTCCTCCCAACTCTTTCAGACGTTGAGCCTCACACCGAAGGTTTCGTTGTAACGGAGCTATACAATCCGCTTCTTACAGCACCTGCCGTTATAAGCACTTCGATTCCCAGCCCTACAAGTCTACTGAAGCCAGTTACGTCTACTACAAGCAACTCTGTACCCTCAGGTCTCTCCAAAATGGCTGCCGCTCCCAACATCTTCGCCAACCCCATCGATACGAGCGCTCCTCCATCGATGTTCCAGAGGAAGTCCACTCACCCTGTTGCCAAAACGCCCATGGTCAATCAAAACAGCCCTGTTGGCACGAACAAGTTTTACTCCAACTTCTACCTTGGTGATCAGAATACCCCCGTCTATACTTACCCCTACTCGCTCACATGGGGGCGCGGCACTGGCCCGGCAGCAAGCTGGGGCATGTCTATCTCTCATGTCGAGGCGTCACAACGTACATATGGCAACGTGCAATCTAATGGTGCCGTCGAGTATTACATCAACCCTGTTGGTATCCAGTCCATGATCATCTCGGCAAAGGAACTTGGCAAGAACACCGTCTTGACTATGGACTCTATTAGTGCTCACTATGCCAAAGCTTACCTCAGAAAGGACAGCAAGTCAGCCGCGACAATCACCTTTCCCCTTTACCAAGGTAGCGTCTTCACGACTGCGTACTTCAGTGGTGGTACACCTTGGATTCAGACTGGCGTTTACTTCAGAACTATGACACAAGTGACAAAGGATCCCAAGTCCAACGTGCGCAAGTACAACTTCGTCCTTGAAGATGGCACCACCTGGCGTCTGTACGCTTACAAGACCAAGGGTGACCCTCTTACCCTCAAGGTCACCAACAACGGTCTTGCTTCCTCGACCAAGCCATTCTATGGCTTCATTCAAATTGCGAAGGATCCCAATGTTGGACAATCCGAGGCAGTTCTCGACAACGGCTGTGGTATCTATGCCACTGGCATGACAGTCAGCGGCAACACTGTTGGCAAGCAGGGCACTTACAGTTTCACATGGACCAAAGCTGGCCACGCTTCCGGAAAGCTTTGGATCTTTGCTCTTCCTCACCACGTCAGCTCGTTCGATGCTACAACCAAGAAGGAGATGAGGACGTACTCGCTCCAGACACCTACCAAGGGTATTGCTACTGCTGTTGGCGGAACCACCTGGACGATGGTCGAGTCTGCGCTGCCCGTCGACATGGGCTTTGCTCCCTGGGATCCGGCAAAAGGAAGCCGTGGTCTGACTGCTAATGCAAAGAAAATTATCGCACCTATTGCCAAGTCCGAGGTCTCGCAAGACATGGACGCGCAGGCTAATACAGACTCGATGTACTTTTCTGGAAAGGTAACTCCCTCGTCAAGCTTCCGTGAGAAATATACTAACATAGTGTAGGCTTTGGCAAAGTTTGGTTCCGTACTTTATGTCATCAACAACATGCTAGGAGATAAGGCTCTGGCACAGGCTGGCTTACTCAAACTTCAGAAGGCGTTTGCCAGATTCGGTTCGAACAAGCAGAACTACCCTCTTGTCTATGAATGTAAGGTGTTTGTCAAAGCTGGGTTTTACGTTAGCTAATCAGGTGAATAGCCGTCTGGGGCGGAGTCGTTTCTTCTGCATCCTATGAGACAGGCCAAGCAGGATCCGATTTTGGAAACACTTACTACAATGATCACCATTTCCATTACGGCTACCACGTCCTCGCTGCCGCCTATATTGGCGCTATGGATAGCAAATGGCTTGCTGCCAACAAGGCTTACGTCAACTCTCTTGTTCGTGATTATGCGAACCCGAGCAGCAGCGACAAGTACTTTCCCGTGTGGCGAAGCTTTGATTGGTACCACGGCCATAGTTGGGCTCATGGTCTGACTGCCATGTATGATGGCAAGGACCAAGAATCGAGTTCCGAGGACATGATGTCTGTTTATGCTCTGAAGATGTGGGGTACAGTGATTAAGGACACTAACATGGTCGCGAGGTAAGTTGGGCAGTCCAGGAAATTTGATAACAGACAACTGACAACAGAATAGAGCAAACCTCCAGCTTGCCGTCATGACACGCGCTATGCAAGACTACTACTACTATACCACCTCCAACACCGTGCAGCCTAAGAACTTCATCGGCAACAAGGTCGCGGGTATTCTGTTTGAGAACAAGGTGCACCACACAACATGGTTCAGTGCAGCCATTGAGGCAGTCCAGGGCATTCACATGATTCCTATCCTACCCGTGTCCAACTTGGCCCGAACCGCCACATTCGTTCAGCAGGAATGGGACACTTACTTTAGCAAGGGCCGTGTCGACAAGTTTAACAACCTGTGGAAGGGTATCATCTATGGCAACTATGCAACAGTTCAGCCTAAGACTGCCTGGACTTTCTTCACACAGTCCAAGTTTGATGCCAACTGGATCGATGGCGGAGCATCAAGGACATGGTATATGGCGTATGCTGCGGGTAAGTCTTTTGAACAGTGAAATGTAAGATTACAGTGGCTGACAATCATGACACAGCTCTGGGCCAGATTTGATGAGAAACAGAAAGTGAGATCGCTGCGTTGCGACCAAAACGTCAGCGTCGGTGCTGAGATAAGCACCTTGTACAAATATTGAACATACCTTACATAGACATGGCGATACCTCGACGGGAACATTTATTTTGTATAATTGGAATGGGCAGAAAGAATAGGCTTTGCATGTGTTAGAAATGGAAGAGGAAAGCAAGAAGTACAGTTGAATATTCCCTGACCTCACCCAGATTAGACAGATGGGAGGCAGATGTTAGACCCTAGACAGGGCGAGTTAGAATTTCATTGATTACCTTTAAGCCGTGTCGAATATCGGGAAGACGAAGCTTGAGAAGCCCCGAAGTCCGATAGAGACTGAATAACCCGTGACCTGTGTTGTTGATACCGGAACTCGGATACATGAAATCAATTAAACCCACGTGCTTGTACTGAGGAGGTGACTATCTGGCCCGGCTTGATTGGGGCGCAGCCATGACGACCCTTGATGAAGATTTGCGCCAAGCCCAAGGGGAGTGAGTGAGATGTG